GTAGAAATCCAAACTGTGAAACTAAATCTAGTAAGCGAGAAAATCTTCCTGTTATTTCTGTAATCAAGCGATCAATAACATCCTTCACGATGCGATAAATTTCGTGTTCAGCAGTCAATCCAGCATCAGCTGCATTTTCACCTGGCATTCGTTTACGACGTATTTTTCTTCTTTCAATAGTCAATCCCCATGTTTCACATTGATTCTTGCCCACTTGAAGTGCTTCTTGACAGGACTTTTCACGTGATTCTATCAATTTATCTTTCAAAGAATCAAGATCAGCACTTGAGGTTATGTCTTCAGTATGACCACGAAATGCACGATTCTTAGAAGCTAAATATTGTGTACAATCCAGCAACCGTCGCAGAACACCTCTACATTTAATTTTCTTGCTGAATTTCCCTTTGCAGCTCTTCATCAATGCCACTTTGAAGACTAATTCGGCGCTCAGTTTCTTTCCAAGCAGTAAATGACTCACGATGACTGTCACTATTTTCATGGGCATTTAACTTTTCAATTGTTTTTCCACTTAGAGAATCCACCCTGTGTTTTGGAAGCAGGCCGACTATCGAATGTCATACATGTAGATGAAAAAAGGAAGATAAAAAAAGCAGTATGCTGCTATATGTAGAGGTGAATACACCAACCAGGAACGATTGACCACTCAGAAGGCGTCGTTTGAACCAAAATGCAGTCATAAAACGCCCGTCTTTGGCATCAAATGAACCTTCTTTATGTTGAAATTCATGTGCTCCAACTTTAACAATCTCTGTGCGATGTACATGTGTTACAACTGCTGAGCCTGTTGTATCAAACTTCATAAATCCAATATCCCTGTGCGTGTTAAAATATTTATCAGGTCATCCTCTTTTAGCTTAGCAACACTATTCTGTGGATTTGTTTCTGACAAAGTGGAATCCTCTTGTTAATAATAATTGTAGCTTTCAACAGGACAGAGAACAGTTTCTTCATTGCTTTCTTTTTAAAATGAAATAGTATGTTCATAATCTTACACTATGACCTCATTGCTGCCATCAAAAGGAACAGATGCTCTCATCAATTTGATTGACTCCATCATCGAAGCTGCAAATTGTGCACGTCTTTTGCGTCTCTGTGCCCTTTCCTTTTTTTTTTTTTTTTTTTGACATAATGGGCTAAAAGAATAAATTGATAAATACTGACTACACTATTTAGTTGCAACAT